CAAAATGCAGTTACATCGAGTAAATAGATACCAAACATGTCAAGTGTTAAAATTGCATGCACCTCAGCAATGGCGAAAAACTATGCTTCACAACATTGTCCATATGTGACGTTTTAAAAGCCTGTACAGGTCATCAGTTTAGCGTTAACCATGAATTATGGCCCGAGAATTATTGCTCTCACTCCAACGTTCGCGGTGATACCTAACATGTTTGGTGCATACACATGAATGCCCCACACACGCATGTTTATTCTCATGCAAATGGTGGGGTTGGTTTTAATTTTTAAATATTTATTTTATTATTTTTTATGACTTAAATTTTTTTTCCCCTTAACTTTATTACTATTACATAGGAGCTAACAAGCTCCTATGTTATATTGTACTGAGGTGACAGGTTCTCTTTATGGAAACATCTGGGGTCTAATGACCCCTAATGTCTCCCCTGCACTCCAACACAGGTGATCAAGCACAGCATTGTGCTCCATCTCCCGTGCAGCCTAGCTTACTGCTGAGACAGGAAACACTGTCAGTACAGCAGATCAGAACCGGCCTGCTCCCGCTCTCTATTCTGAATGAACTGCAATGGTCCCGAGTCCCCCAAAGGAGAAGGGAACCACGAAAACTATGGCGGTTGGTGGTGTGACCCCTGCCATGATGTCCCGTCAGCGCAGAAGTATTAGCAGGAGCAACGTTGCAAGTTCTCTACTAAGCCCCTGCTAATGCCCCCCAGAGCTTCTGCACTGACAAGAGACAATATGACAAGGTATACTGATGGACATTATGGGGGGCTTGGAATACATAATGTCCATCAATGTACCCTGTCCTAATGTCCCCTGTCAGTGCAGAAGCTGGAGGGGTTGGTGAGGGGGTCTGTGTGTGGAAGGGGGGCATTAGCAGGGGCACCGCTGCAGGTTCTCTACTGAGCCCCTGCTAATGCCCCCCAGAGCTTCTGCATTGACAGGAGACATTACAACATATCCATCAGTGTCCCCTGTCCTGCCACACTGCACATCTCCCTGCCTGCCTACCTTTCTCTGATTCCAGTCAGACTGAACTATTTGCACTGGAGAGTACAGTAGATACAGCGGCGGATTGATATCTGCTGTACTCTCCAGTGCAGGCCGGGCCGAAACTTTAACTTAATTGTCGGGAGCCGCGGCTCCTGATATTAATGCGCCGGCCGAAAGTGAGAAAATAGTCCCTTCTCTCCCCGGGCCATATCACTTTATCGGAGAGCCCGGGGGTGGCTGGGAGAGAGGGGACAGTTTTACATTATGGAGTTCTCACAAGCTGAACTACAAATTCCCCTCTCTATTTCGCTCTACTGCAGATGGGCTGCTCCATGAAGAAATGACACCGCGACCCGCTGCAGAAGGTCGCAACCCATTTTTGGGTCGCGACCCACGAGTTGAGAACCGATGCAATAGAGTCTATAACCCATTCTAAGCCCTGATGAAGGGGGAGTGTTGTTGACCCTGAAACGCGTTGGGCTGTTTTTTGTTCGATCAAATTGTGAACATTTAAAGATTTTTGGACTCTTCCACCTTCTGGTGTGGCACCCTTTATTTTTGAACATTGAGGGGGTTATTCACAAAAGAGCGAAAAATTTGGAGAAGGCAGGAGAAGTGAACAATCTAGGACAACATAGCTGAACTGGAAAGTGAATTGGAGAATTTTTCCAAATCGGCTATTTTGCCCTAGATTGTTCACTTCTCCTTCCTTCTCCAAACCCTTCACCCTTTTGTGAATAAACCCCTGAGTTTGTTCACAGGTTGGGCGCAGGGTGGTGACCAAGCTGCATTGCTTAACTGTAGTCATATGGAGAAAAGTCAGGTGCTTGGCTATGCTGTTCAGTGGGATGTGTAAATCGGGGAAATGAAGAGGCAGAATTACAAATGCCACGGCAGGTAAAATAGGCTCCATGTTGGATTTCAGTTGTGCCTTTAGGTATGTGTGGGTGCACTGGGTACAGCCAGCTGTGGGGTGCCCTTGGAGTGCAGGCACCAGGTTTTGGTGCTTTTGGCAGTGTGGGCAGGTGCCATCTTTTGCATGAAATTCTAATTATTCGAGTTTCACCTGTATATCCTGGCCAGTCTTGCCGGCGTATAGTACACCCTGTGCAACAGTTTATACTGTATTAGTCTATCCCTGGCCGAAATTAAATATGTGAATAGATAATCCCAGGCCTTCATCCATTCCTCCTCATCCAGATCCTGTACCTCTCTACGCCAGTGTGCCCCACAGCTACTTAAGGGGTTGTAGCTATCAGGAAACAGAGTGCCGTACACCGTGGACAAGGGCTTACGTAGCCCCCGAGACCTCAGCATGCACTCCAGGGGGGAGGCACCAAAGCTTCCAGAAGTGGGTGCAAACTGGGCTCGGAAGGCATGGCAGAGTTGCAGATAGCGGGAAAAAAAAGATCCCGGCAGCCCAAATTTGTTAAGTAAGTCCGCAAAACTCATGATATGCCCAGCAGTGAGTATGTCCTCCAATTTTTTGATGCCCTTTCCGGCCCATATCTGACAATCCGGGATAGTGTGGAAGTGTGCCAGATTTGGGTTCCTCCACAAAGGAGTATGCGGGGACACAGTCAACTCTCCTACCCCAAGTGCACTCGATAACTGCTGCCATGCCTTCAAGGCAGCTCGCATGGAGAGCGTGAGTTCATACGGGGCCCCACATCCCCTATACACCAGGGATAACAAGGCCTCATGGGAGCCCAGGCTCGCCGCCTCCAAGACCACCACAGAGTCACTGTCCTCTCCCACCAGCCACCTGTGCACAACCACCATTTGTCCTGCCAGATAGTATTTCCTCATATCAGATAGTGCTGGTCCCCCTCCTGTCCAAGGCGCCTGCAGGATAGCCATCCGAAGTCTCAGTACCTGCGAGCCCCACACGAAGTCCCGGAACATGCCAGTCACCCTTTAGGAAAAAACTCGCAGGCACCCAGACCGGGGAGTTACGCAGGAAATACAGTAACACCGGGAGAACCTTCATTTTAAGCAGATTAACCTTCCCTATCATGGAAATTGGCAAATGCTTCCACGCCAGCAGCCTCCCCTTAACCTGTGCAAGGGCCGGGGCCAGATTCAGGGAGTGGTAGTCACCCACCCTAGCCCAGATCTTAATTCCAAGGTACATGATCTGTGAGACCCACTGTAGAGGGATTGATCCATCAGCCGAGCTTATAGTGCCCTCATCTAGAGGCAGGATATGGGACTTGGCCCAGTTCACTTTCAAACCAGAAAACACCGAGAACTGATCAAGAATCCTCAGCGCCTCCCTAAGTGATGGTCCTGCATCTGCCAAAAACAAAATTAAGTAATCCGCATATAAAGCCAGCTGCTCTTCAATAGTTCCCACCCTGAGTCCCTCTAGCTTCACGGAGGTGCGCAAGGCCACTGCCAAGGGCTCCATCATTAATGCAAACAGCCCCGGCGAGAGGGGGCACCCCTGCCGGGTACCCCTCCTCACCGGAAAGCTATCCGACAAGGCAGAGCGGCTATAGGTTCTCTATACAGAACAGCTATCCATCTACAAAAGTGCGGGCCAAATCCCATATGTTGCAGGACAGACCCCATGTACCCCCAATCCACTGAATCAAAAGCCTTCTCAATATATAAGGAGACCAGTGCTTTAGACCCAACAGTAGTATGAGTGAGTTGGAGATTTGTGAAGACCCTGCGCAGATAAGTATCAGTCGATTTCCCTGGAATAAATCCCATCTGGTCAATATTGACCAGGGAGGAGATAACCCCTCCTAGTCGCGTCGCTAGGATTTTGGTCAGAATTTTTAAATCCATGTTCAGAAGAGCTATCGGGCGGTAGGAGGAGCAACACAATGGGTCCTTCATCGGTTTAGGTATAAGGACAACATTCGCCTCATACATGGAGTCTGGTAAGCTTCCCCTCTCCAAACAATGACTATATAGACCCTGCAGGCGTGGTGCCATCTGATCCAAATAATACCTATACCATTGAGCTGGGAGGCCATCCGGTCCCGGGGCCTTCTCGGCCGGGAAGGAACTAATTGCCATCTCTATCTCTCGGACCGAGATCTCCTTCTCCAAGGATTCTCTATCCAGTTGCCCAAGACAAGGGAGCCCCAGTCTCCCCAAGAGGGAACCAAGGGCGTCCCCGTCATAAGGCGCAACTGGAGCATAGAGCACGCTATAATATTGTCTAAACTCCTCCATTATCCTGACCGGATCCGTCACCCGCTCCCCCAATATTGTTAGTATACATGGGATATTTGTTAAGGGATGATGATCTGCTACCAACCGGGCTAGCCGGTTACCATTTTTGTCACCTTGTTCAAATCGCGCCTCTGCTGCCTCTCGGAGAGAGCAGACCGTCAGGGTCTGAAGGTGCTCCTGCAGAGCTCTTCTCGCCACCCTGAGAGCCCCCAGGGAATCCTCACCTGGGGAAGTCGCATAGGCACTCGCACACTCCTCTACCCGCTGCAACTCCTCCCTTTCTTTGGCAAAGTCGCGTCTAGACACTTTGATGTGGGAAATATATTCACCGCAGGGATACGCTTTAAACGCATCCCAGACTATGGGGAGGCTCCGCCGACCCCTCGTTGTGGGTCCAATATTCCCCCACCAGGGGGGATACTCTGCTCGCCACCCCTCCTCCTCCATCGTTTGATTTGTTTTGGACTTTATTTCACTGTGTATGTTATGTGGTTTGAGTTTAGCTTATAATCATATAATCATTGTTGTATTTTTAAATTTGACATATACTGTAGAGATGGGGTGTGTATAAAAAAAAAATTCCCCCGGATGTCAGATACGCTAGGTATGGACTTGGCCCTAAAAAAAAAAAAAACACACAAAGAACATACAACAATCAAACAGAAGTCGGTACTACAAATTCAAACTGTACATTTATTTAAAAACAAAACAGTAAAATACAAAATGAAATCTTCCTAATAAAAAAAAAACACAGAAATATGAAAACACTTACAGTATGTATTTGTGAGAAGAGAGATTGTATCTTTTATTTTTACATTCCTTTTCTTTTCTTTTTGTTTTCTTTTTTTCTTCCTAAAGACATTAGTGATTAAAAATAGAAATCTTGGGGGGAATGGGGGAAGAGGGCAGAAGAGTGCATGTTGAAGACAGACTGTAGAGGGCACTTGATGACTCTGCTGTCCTTTGGGGCTCAGACCCCGCTGGAAAATTTTGCTGCTTCACCCTACTCAGTCTTTAGTCCTTCCCCTTCCCCTTTTTGCCTGCAGGGAAAAAAAAAGAAAATTACATTTTATGAAAAATGTTCCATGGCCATGTCACATTGGGGATATTTTAGGGGATTATGTGTAAGTTTCAGCTCCAGTGAGTATAGCATTGAATCCTAAAACATACCCACAGGACACTGGGGAGCTCTAGGGCTAAAGTGGACGGGGTGGCATCGCAGGGGGCTCAGGCACTGGAGGGGCCTGTGAAGTTCAACACAGGGCACCTGCTACCTATTTGAAGTGTCCTTCGGGGGAACCCATCGGTGCTCCACTATTGCAATGTGGAGTGGGACCCACTGCAATTGTAAAGGGTGTTGTGTTGTTTTTTTTTTTCCCTTCAGCTTTCATTTATTGATTTCCCCACCCCCTTCCCCTAAGTGCAGCCACTTGGATAAATAATTGACTTCCTCTGGTGGACTGCCATGAGGATGGCTCCCCAAAGGAAAGACTGTTGAGAAAGGTAAATATTCATCCAAGGGGGGAGCTGCACACAGTGTGGGCAATTAATTCAAAGACCGCTGTACTAAAGGCTATTTATGTTTATGATGCAACTGTATCTTACAGTTACACTATTAAAGAGCTGGCACCAATGTTGATCACTGCAGCCTGAAGGTGGCAGTGTTCACCTGCAGGCTTACATTATTATCATTGAAGCCTTCAGCCTGCATGTGATCACCATGTCAGAACAGATGTGGAGATCACATGACAAGGAACCACTCTATTTGGTTCCTGATGGTCAATGGGGACCTCAACTGTCATTGATAGCTAGGATTAAGAACTTGGTGCCATGCAAAGTGTAGGCTTTTGGCTCCCAAAGAGGAGACTGTTAATTATTGCTTCCTCAGCTCTGGTCATTGTGCTGAGAAATGTAAAAAATGTGGGTGGCACCTACATGAGCTGAAGGAACTCGCCGACCATCATCGATGACATCTCCAACTACAAAAACTGTTGCCTGACTTTTATGCCAATCCAATGACTTCAATATTTTTTGTGTCGCCGATTTGGGGCAGATATGCAAATTCACCTGCTGCATGCTTGTTCTGATCAGTGTCTCAAAGTATTCAAACCAAAGACAGCCAGGTAAATAATTTCGGAAAGAACGTTCACATACATGTTTGTCTTGACAGGTGTACTTCATAGTGGTCCACAGATCATAGCACTTTGCGAAATGCTGCTCTTTGCATAGGTTTCTGTGAAAGTGTGCCTTCCAAGTTCTGGTGCTCACCTGGGACTGACTCACAACTCCTATTTCCTATATTATGGTGCGTTTTAAGGAATGTTGTCTAAAGATCCAATTGTCCATCTTGAATTGCGGTTCTGGCAAACTCACCTTTGGATTTGGACTTGTTTTTAATGGAGCAGGGTTTGGTAGCATCAACGGTTTGCTGGCACTCTGCGTTGTACATGGCCTTCTTCAGCATTCCAGTGCGGCTCTTTACTCCGGTCTCGGTGTTGCAGTCACCCCAGGTAGTGAACTTGTATTTGCAGTCAGCTGGAGGGAAAGAAACGGAGGGAATAGTGTTACTGCTAAGACAGCCTCTGTGCATCTGCAGAAGATGCACCAAATATTTGAGCATATAAACCCAAAAACTATTTTTCAGTATGTTGGGTATTATGTCTTAAGGGGTGGGGGTGTGACATCATCTGTTCTCTTCCAATCACAGAATGCCTTGTATTCTTAGGAAAATTACATAGCCTTTTGCTTATGGATGAATGTGAGGAGGGGAGTGAGTGATACGACCGCATCGATGTACTGCTCAAGTCGCATCTCTCCCTCTCCTCAGTACTCGGAAGCTCGCCGTTGTGTGTATTAGATAGAATTCTGCAAGGTAAGATTATTATATTTTGCAGCATACTTTGCACATAACACACAGCTTTATAATAATAATAATTATTATTATTATTATACGTGATTTCTATAGCGCCAACAGTTTGCGCGGTGCTTTACAATATAAGGAAGACATTAAAATCACAATACAATTCAAGACAAGATGGTAAGGAGGGCCCTGCCCCTGAGGGCTTACAATATAAAAGAATGATCATTTACACACCCAGTGCGGTGTGTAAATTATCATTTTGCTCTGGGTGTGGCTTTAAGAAGAATTGAATATGGAGAAATAGGACGATGACAATCACTGAAAAATAGATTTTAGGTTTATATACACTCTAAGTGGTGTAACCCATAAGTTTCCTGAAGACCTCAGATGGCAGTCCAATGCTCAGGCATAATATGACTGACCACTGAAAAGTTACAACATACGCAGACATGGCCCAATCAGCAAGCAGGCACTGTAATGGCTGTGGAACAAAGCAGACATTTTCCAGTCTTTCGCCTGTCTCAAGGGGTAAATAATGACAAGTTTGGAGTTCTAACCCTGAGAAGAGTTGGCCAGAGCCCACATACAGTTTGACACCTTATTTTGCTAATTCCATATTGCTCTTCATTATATTGGGCCACCCGTCTCACCTCCAAATGGTTTCTTCCAGTTGCATGGAATTTTGCACTTCAGTTTGCTTGTCTCCTCTTTGCAAGTTCCCTCCCGGGTTCCCACACCACAATCCTTGCTGTTCGGGACACAAGGGCCCCACTTCCATTCTGAGCAGTCCGATCCGCCTTTTTTAGCTTTGTCTGTTGAGAAAAAAAGAGGGTGGCAAAAGCTGTATGTCAGCACAAAAAGAAAACTGGAGGCAGAGTAAGGGAACTAATGGGACAAATTTATGAGAACTGGAACAAAAAGGAAAAAGTTTTAAGTTATAGCTGAACCCTAACTTGGTGGCATTTAGTGTGTTAAAAGCACTGGGTATCACCCAATGTCCATGCCATTTGTAATTAAATACTGTTTCATCCTTTTTTGAGGATGAGAAAAGGGGAAAAAAATCCCTTTTCTCATCTGATATCCATATTTTTCAGCCACTTTCTGTCTACACGCACTGACTCCAGCAACGGCTGTACAGTATTGTTCAGGACCAAAATCCTGATGGTGACAATGGGAGACCATGCCTGTGCAATATGTGTTGGCATGGTCACAATGAATAAGTACAATTGGGAGACAGTTGTAGTTCCTTAACAGAATGTGTCTGAACAAAGAACAGGATCACCATTTTAATTAAAGAAGACTAAAAACAACTTTTCAAATGTCATTAACATGATAAATCTTAAATAAGATTTTAGTGATTTGGGTTTAGATCTACTTCAACCCCTCGGCTCTGGACCCCACCAGCCCTAAGGGGTTCTGATCTACTGAAGGCAAAGGCTGATTTCCCGATTACGTGATCACTGTGGTAACATGATTGGGAGCCTATCACACTGGCTTCCAATCGTCAACCATGACTGGGATAGCTCACTCGCTATGCTGGGAGGGCAGCATTTAATCCAGCTATATAAAGTTTGAACAGGTTCATCGGAGGAGGTAGCAGAGTGATTACCCAATCAAGGTGCTACTTCACCTTCACTGTCCAATCACAGGCTGTCAGAAAGGTACCAACCAAGCTGTAACTAGAGTGCAGCAAAGTTAGGTATGTAACTTGGCTGCAAAAGCTAACATCGGCACCTGGATCACTAGACCGGCTGAACACAATTACAAATCCTTTGGCCACCATTTTGGTGTAACCCCCATCAGAAAAATCAGGCACTCAGAGGGGAGAAAAAGAGGGGACCCGGCGGGGGGGAGAGAGGAGGGGAAGTTTGCCGGCGTCCATCACCAAGACGGCACACTCGTGAGTGATGGAGTCCCAGTGGGGTGTAAACCGGCGGCCGCTCCAGGTGACGCCACTCCTGGGGACGCCCCTGGTTAAGACGCACATCAACACGTGTCATGGCGCATGATGATGGATCATAACGCATATTTCACCAAGATGTGCATTATTACACGTGCTGACATCAAATATAATGTATTGCAATGCATATTTAAAACCAAGCTGAAATGTATGCTGAAATGCATCCACATGTACTTTGATGTTTCTGTTGAATTCAATGCAAAATGCATAGGTGTGACTCCAGCATACAACAACCGTGATTGTTTGGGAGTTCACCTGTTCTCAATGAAATGTGGAAAGGAGATGGAAAGGAGATGGAAAGGGGGGTGGGTGGGAATTTACAGATGAAGAGACCATAAATCACCTTTCTTGTTCTTGACGGCCTGAGAGCTGACAGCAAGGATTGCCACCAAGACGATGATGCACAAAGCTCGCAATTCCATCCTGCAACAGAAAGAGCACAAATAAAACCATGCACTGGGTTTTTAAAGAAAGTCTATAAAAGGCATTTGGATTTTGCTTGTTTGTGTCACCTTGAAAAGAAATCTACACTGAAAAAAATATATAATCTGCAATAATGAACTGTCTGTGACGCTGAATCAAGGGCTTCCTGAGTTACTGGCCTCAAACACATTTGCAGATCAGCAGTTATTATTTTTCATTGACTTCTATAGCTGCATGCTTATTCTAGATCAGTAACTCAATTTATTAATATCCAAAGATTCCATCATTCCGCTACAGATAAATGGACCTGCACATATCCTGACTTTATGAATAAGCTCTTAGGGAGTGAAATGCGTTTCTCCTTTTGCTTTTGTGTGAGCCAAAGCATTTAGGCCAGAGACAGCTAGGGCAAGAATGTTCGGCCAGGTCCTCAGTGTCCATTGACAAGTGTAACCTATTGAGAGTCCCAACTGCAGCACTTTTATTGTGACCAGCGCTGTTATTAGCCACCTGCAGCAAGCAACTGGGGCATATGAAAGTGCTAACTTATGTGCACATACATATGCACAATTTAGAAAATGTGGTTTGAGCAGCAGACAAAACAAGGGGTTTAGATCTACGCCTACAATATGTTTCAGGGATGCACTGCAAATGTGGATGTCCACCTCCCTGGTCAGAGAATGTGAGAATGGTAAGTATTGTAGATCAAGAAAATCTGTGTGACACTGTATAGTCCAGACAATGTAGAAGTTCCCTTTAAAACTGAACTCCAGTTATAAATAATCATGCATAAGTATTGGTCCAGCTTGGCCAATGCAAGTATGGATATGCCATACCTACTACCCAATGGCCCAATGCAAGTATGCACATGCCATACCTGATTGCCCACTGGGGATCCTATAAAGCACTGTAGTAGCCAGAGCATCTACAGTACTGGCTGTGATCTTCTGGGTCCTATTCAGCGCTGTGCTGAGCGGCTTCTCCTCTACTCTAAAACACGGGGCCACTCGCTCGGCACAGCGGCCATTCAGAGACCACCTTGTATTAGGGATGCACCGATATCGGTATTTCGATATCGAGTCCCGATATTTTTTCTTTTCGGTACTCGCCGATACTGAATACCGAGTATCGGAAGTCCCATGACCAAGTGGTAGAAATCCATTGATCCCCTCCCCCATCAACGCAACACTGCTCCCGCAGCTGCTGAATACGCAGATAGTGCCAGCATCTGATTAGATACAAGTGCTGTTCGGCCTAAATCTTTTGGACTGGCTCCTTTTGACAAAAGGAGTGGAGGGGTGCCGCTGGCGCAAACCAAAGCTTGCATTTCAGTTGGTTCATCGGGAGCAAGCCAAAATTCACTAGGTGTATGGGCAGCTTTACGAATGTTCACTAGCATTTAAGTTCCAGTTACACCCCTGGCGTGCCCCTACCCAAGCAAGAGCCACATAACCATGCTTATACCTATGCCAAGTGAACATGGTACTCATTCACTTGTAGGAGTACATGATGATGATAATGTTATAGTCAACCCATTGAACTCATTTTTTATATAGTCTGCAAACCTTGTGGGCAGTAACAGTATCTACTGTTAATAATAAACCTTGACCTTTCATGGGTCCATTTCTTTGTTAGTTCTGTATAGAGTAAGGGACAAAATCACAGCTTGTTTATTTTTTTTCTGTCCTTGCCCTATTGGGGTGACTTGCCTTCACTTTCTGCCAGAGACTCAACAGGAAGTATATAAAGTTTGGGGAATCCCCTCTGGTGTCACCCGGGTGCGGGCCGCACCCCCCTTGTGACGCCACTGTACCAGAAATAGACTTTGGGAGATTTCCCCTCACCTTTTTGTTCTGGGGACAACTGTACAAGTTGGTGTTTTTCCATCACTATCTGTCTTCTCAGCAACAATTGTCAGCAGTTCCCCTAAACTGTTATTCTTTAGTTAAAGCTTCTTTGTTGTATCTGTTAGAATACAACCGGAAGAGTATTGGATATTGTGTTTATAACTTAACAACTTCTTCATTATTTATTTAATTAGAATTAAATTGTTCCCTTGGTTTGTTTAGCTGCAATCCCAATGAATGTCAATAAAACTTCAACAATGGTCAGCAGGACAAATGGAGACTCTACCTAGCAGGGATGCAAAGCATAAGAGACCATAAAGGTTCTAATCCTTCCCTGATCTATGCAAATTTAAAAAAAGAAAGTTTTGGCTGTACATTTAATTTGCGAGGAGAACAAGAGTGTCTCACTTAAGACGAATACGCTCTAAATCCCGTTACAATAAATTGGCATAAGGTTTTGGTACAACAAAAGTGGTCAATCATAGCGCTCCTAAAAACTTTAATAGGATGACTGTTAAAAGAGCTATAAAATTGTGTACCGGGATCCAAGACTAATGTAAAAATAACAGCCCTGGGAAAAAAAACAAGACACATGGCAGGCCCATTAACGCGGCACATTCTAAGGCTGGAAAATAGAGTGCAGTGAGTGATCTCGCACACATAGGATGCCCCCTGCTGATGCTGCTGCTAAGGATTCCTGTACAAGCCCTAAAGAATCCAAAAATAAAGGCCAGCTCACAAAGGGAGCCCCTTCCACAGAGAATAATGTGCAATTCATCCAACCATAGATAATGTACTCTTCCAGGCACTCTATGAATTCTCCGGCCCCATAGGAGAGGTTGTGTTACACTCTGCTAACTCCATAAACTACACTACAAGCTACAAATGTGTTATTTAGCATGTCTTCTTTGTTTAAAAGGAAGCTGCAATGTATTCTCAATGAGTTTGCTTTGTTTTTGAGCCATTATACCTTAAAACAGCGGCGGTTTTTAATGACCGCTGCATGAAAATCAATTGCAAGTAAAGAGGAGCGAACTGATCGCTAGATTGGCAAATCGAAAAGAGTGTGTGTGAATGTTGGCTGTCTGCTTGTACTTATGCATACTCCATGTGAATGGCAGAATACACTTAAGGGTAATGTCCACTTTAAAAAAAATAAATAAATAAATACACACACATATTCATAAAAGAAAAAATCAGCATGTATTACGTTTTTTTTAGCATTGGAGCCAGTAAAGCATTGCAACCGCAATTGGTGGATCATGGGTGCAGCGCTCTGGCTCCTGCAGTGTGGATGGAATACTAAGGCCGTGACGTCATCACACTTGTATACCATTGAGAACTGCCAGGACTTGTGGTTTCTCCATTCACAAATCCTGTCAAGGGATCTGTGAATGGATGATGTGGCTGTGTGGGCGCAGGGTGCTGATGTGACCATGTTCATGTTGCACCCTAGTTATGAAAGGTAAACTTGGCCTTTGTAGTGTATGTATAGCCAAAATGTTTTGATGAATAGAGTAGAGAGGGGTCTAAGCACCCGGCAGGTTACTTTTTTGCGGTTTATGTGCCATTGGGGAAATTTCCCTTCACTTCCTGTCCCTGGGACACAACAGGAAATCTCCCATAGTAAGGAGAATTCGCATTACGCTGTCAGATTTTCTGACCGGTTCCTTCAGTCGTGCTAAACAATGTGGGGTAGCCCCACTGCAAGGGTTAAAAATGTATTTCTTGAAAGACACCCTCTTGCCAGACCAATTTAACAACAACTTTTGCAGAAGACTACAGTTGCAGCTGATATATTATTTACCTGTAAAAGCCTTCCTTGTGTAGACCTCAAAAAGCCGCGAGACCGCTGCCGGGTGCCACCATCTTGAATGTGATGTCAGCAGACTCACAGCTGTCACTGACAATCTATAGTATTCCCCTGTGCTCCTCCCCCGGCAGCTACATAAAAAGTTATATAGGGAGGGGAAGGGGCAGGACAGAGGAGCAGGGCCAGCACAGACCGTGTATAGAAACTCCCAGTAAAGTAGAGGGGTATGACATTCAAGGAGGGAGGGGTTCTGCTAGAGAATTTACTCTATTAAAAGGAGAACTATGGGGTTAAGGCTTTTCCACATGGTTTTCCTTAGGGTAACGGGAGGACACAAACTAGCGTCCTCCCGTCACCCTAGGCTCAGTATACCGCGAGCTGTAGCTCGCGGTATACTGAGACGCCGCAGCTGAAGTGGATCCCAATAATTGTGCCGGGATCCGCCCAACTGCGTGACTGACAGCTGGCTCTGCCTATCTAGAGGCAGAGCCAGCTGTACCCGCCCCCTCCCCGGTCCGTTCCGCCAGTCAGCGCTGGAGATCGGAGCGGGGAATCCAGATCCTCTGCTGTCACGGCAGAGACCCGTGACAGGATTGAGAGGTGAGCGAACGCCGGTATGTGTTCGCTCACCTCCCGATCTACTGAGCTGACCTGTGACAGTCTCATTGTCACAGGTCGGCTAGAACTATGAGGTGAGTGAAAAGCACTCACCTCATAGTTCTCCTTTAATGTTAAAAGTAGTCAAATTTGCTAGCAAGTTCAAAGCAAGCAAATAAATGTATTTAGGCAAAGGAAAAATTATACAAGGAATTATTTAAAATAATAATTTCTCCCCATTGTTTTCAGTTGGTGACAGGGTCTCTTTAATGTTATTAAAGGATACTCCTGGAGCAATATTCACCACCGATGTAACAAGGGACATTCTCCCATTGACCACCAATGTAACGGGGGCCCTTTTTCCACTCGCCAGTCCATTTGCACTGACCACTCATACCGGCGTTCGCTCACTTCTCGATCCTGTCACGGCTCTTTGCCGTGACATAGGAGGGACTGATTCCCCCCTCCACGCTCCGATCCTCCAGTGCTGACTGGCGGAACGGATGGGGGAGGGGGCGGGTACAGCCGGCTCTGCCTCTAGATAGGCAGAGCCAGCTGTCACTCACGCAGCTGGGCGGATCCAGACATAATTGTCGGGATCCGCTTCAGCTGCAGCGTCTCAGTATACCGCGAGCTGTAGCTCGCAGTGTACTGAGCTTAGGGTGACGGGAGGACGCTACTTTGTGTACTCCCATTACCCTAAGGAGAACTATGGGGAAAAGCCCTAACCCCATAGTTCTCCT